CAGTACATATAGATATATCACATCATATATAATAAGCTGTTTGAAATTTGATCTCTGTTAGTTCATTTTTCCGCTGTTCAAACGTTTTCAAACTCTGCTTTGAATTTCTTCTGGCCCTTTCTGTACAGAGTTGGTGTCTTCTCTTCAGTGRGCCGTGGTTCAGTAAACCTTTTCATGAAGCTGGCTCCATCATTGTCCAGAACCTGGTGTGGGGGCTGAGGAAGAGTAGGTCACAGAACAAAGTGCTCAATCTCAGATAATCCATCCCACCCCCAACTTTCTGATTCACCACAGGGTCAGCTCGTTCTGGCACTGCCTCATTAAGTTTCCCTGCAGGAAAAATAAATCACTCATATGTTTCATAATACCTTTTTTAAAGCAGCTTGTGTCTTTTTAATACATTTAGTTCAAATACTGATTTATTACCTTTTCATTAACACTTACAGTTCTTTTTGTATACGTCCAAACAAATWGTTTTATTTTGCTACACTTTAAAACAAGTTGCTTATTAAAAATCTTCAAAAACCTTAAAGCTGTTGTTATTTTCTTGTAAAACTCACTTTATGTGACCTGAAAAGCATAATTTGAGATGAATCTAAAGCAAAATATTGCATATTTCAACTTCACCAGCTTTTAATTTCCAAGTACTGTTRGAATTCCCAGTATACCATAAATTCYGWGAATGGATTAAGTGGAATATTCTACAACAYCAGCCTTCAAACTAAAGCCTGATGTGTACTCAGTAAACAGATCATAGGCCAGTAATACTTTAAAACCAGACTCTGACTTGGTGGACTTATCTGATGCCATCGCTACAAGAGAGGAAAAGAAAAAGATTTTAAATCATTTGATAACCTCAATAAGTCTCTTTAATGACAAAAAAGGCAAAACGCTGCAAATGTTGCGATAAAAACTTTTTTTAAAATGCTCACATAGGTAAATTTTGTCCAATATTTATCTCTAAAATTTATTTTTTCTTAACAACAAAAATAATCTGTTTTACATGTTTATAGTTCTTTTTTTATTATCTCCAACCAGTTCAACATACAGAATTCATCTCATCTGTCAGCTGAAACCTGTGGAAAGATGTAAGTAATATTTAATTCAGTAATTCAGTTCTATTCAATAATACTTTATAAATCCCAAAGGGAAATTAAATGCTATTYTAACTCCTGGTTTCTTAAAGAGTGATTAAGATGATGATGGCTGTGAGCAGGAAGGATCTCCTGTAGCAGTCTGTCTCACATCGCCCATCATGATTGATGGAAGAGATGGTTTGAACTTCCTCTTCTCTCCTCTTTTCCCCTGCTCTGCATCCATGCTGCCTCTTTTTCAAGTCATCTGGGATTTGGGCCTGTAGTTGAGTTATTATTTGAGCTTTTGAGATGTTAGTCAGCAGCCAACAAACCACCATGTTGCAATGATTACTCATCAGAACAATCCTAGAACCAATAGAAGAGACAAGCAAGGTTGGAAAAATAAATAATTTTTTGTGTTTATCCTTTTCGGTGATTTGTCAAAAGCAAATCCTGCAATTGTTGTGTTTTTATTTTTA